ACAATTTCTTTCTAGGTAATGTTCAATGACAGTTATACCATTCAGCAATAAATAATCAACTTGATAGTGTATAACTATGTGTAACAGTTACATTAATCTCCTTATCTACAGATGTTCTGTTTGCATCGTCCTTGTTCACAGCTGAACAACACCTTATTCCCAAGAATGGCTTGGCTTAAGTCAATAAGCCAGAAGATGTACAACACTCAAGTGCTAAAGGATAACAAATTAGAGCCTGAATGCTTTCAGATACTCTAGATAATCTTTATTGGACTGGAAACTGGAGTAATTACTTTGGCTCAAGAAATACAAATGAGCACTAGGCCACCATGTGAGCAAAAATAGTATTGACTGAATCCTACCAGTTTTATTGCCTATTCACTTACATACCAAACCAAACCATTTCTGGCATATGATACTTTTCGTACTTTCACAGAATCACAGAATGGCTTGGGTTGGAAGGGGCCTTAAAGCTCACCTCATTCCAACCCCCTGCCATGGGCAAGCACAACTTCCACTATCCCAGGTTTCTCCAAGCCCCATCCAACCTGGCCTTGAACACTTCAAGGGATGGAGCAGCCACAGCTTCTCTGGGCAACCTGTGCCAGCATCTAATCACCCTCATGGTAAAAAAATTCTTCCTTATGTCCAAATTAAACCCTCTTTCACTTAAAAAACATTGCCCTTGTCTTGTCAATAGAAGCCTCGGTTAAAAAAAATTAATAAATCTCCACCTTTCTTATAAACCCCCCTTATATATTGAAAAGCTGCAGTAACGTCTCCACGGAGCCTTCTCTTCTCCATGCTGAACAATCCCAACTCTTTCAGTCCTTCCTCATAGGAGGGGTGCTCCAGTCATCTAATCATCTTCATGGCCCCCTGCTGGACCTGCTTCAACAGATTCATGTCTTTCTTGTGTTGGGAATGCTGGAAATAGATGAAGTACCTTCAAGTGGGGTCTCACCAGAGTGGAGTGAAGGGGCAGAATTAACTCCCTCAACCTGCTGTCACAACTCTTTTGATGACCAGGACACAACTGGTTTTCTGTGCTTGAATGCACGTTGCCAGGTCATGTCCAATCTTTCATCCATCAGTAACCCCATGTCCTTCTCTGCAGGGCAGTTCTCAAACCATTCAGCCCCTACCTCGTGCTGGTAGTGGGGATTGCTCTGACCCAGGTATAGGACCTTGCACTTGGCCTTGCTTGTCTTCAAGAAGCTTGAAGGTCCTCAAACCTGTCATGGCCCCCCTGTATGGCATCCCTTCCTTTTAGAGTACTGACTGCACCACTCACCTTGGTGTCATCTGCAAACTTGCTAAGGGTACACTTGATCTCTCTATTTTGTTGATACTAGGTAGCAGTGGTTTCAGTACAAACACCACTCATTACTGGTTTCCACTGGGACACTGAACCATTGACTGTAACTCTTGGGACAAGGATGTTGTGGAGGACATTATCACAGAATCAGGCAAAAGATGAAGTAGCATGCTAAGAGAGGAAGTTTTCACTCAAAGAGACCTACCTGCAATAAAAACCAACAGGGAACATACTACAAAGTGCTGCTTTTAAAATTCTCTCTCTGTTTTTGTCCCCAGGCCCCTACATTAATTCTACAGTGAATTGTTTTATGTAAAACTAGGACGTTAGCAAAATCTGGCATGGCTGAAGCACTATACCTAGGTTCAGCAGATGTGCTTAAGGAGTAAATGATTTATCCTACCTAAAACATGCTCTGCAAAGCCTAAATAAAGTGGGCCAAATTTATGTCAGAGGAAGAAAGGTTTAAGCCACCTGAATGTGACTGTGAGTTTCACCTACTTCCAACATTTCTGAGTATATTAAAATATTATTAAAGTGATAAATTGAGTTTCATTTTTGATATGAACATACCCCACTGGTATGAAACCTGAACCTCAGAAGGCAAAATGAACTACATACCATGACACACAAGGATTTACCAGCAGGAGATAAGGAGGCTTTATCTGCAGTAGTGTCACAGGCTTCCAGATCATATGACACTGCTGTGGGTAAACAGCACATTTTCCTTAGATTCAGGATGTCCTTCCTGCATGGTACATATGTGCAACTGGAGAAAATTAAAAAAAGGCAAATGCAGGCCAAATGACAAGAAATACCACCTTGATAGAAAGTTTCACGGTTCCTCAAAAGCTCTCCCAAGGGAAACAGAAGAACTTCCCCGACTTGGGTTGGGGATTAACAGGTAGAATCCTTCTTAGGAGAAACTTGACATGATCACTTCATAGCAGTAACTAGGAATGCCAATTATAGACTCAAGTTTTGATTGCACCCATTACTGGCAAAAGAAATCATAGATAAGTAGTTCTTCCTGAAGAGTGACTAAACATGCAGATATAAAAAAGCTAGATGCATTTGAGTTGGGAGTAATAAAATCGGGCACTTCATATACTTATCATTGTTTCTTAAAACAGTGATAAAAGCTTTTTTTTTAAAAGATGTCATCATCCATCTGGCCTTCTGCATTTGTAAGGTAACAACTGAACTGCTTATTGTACAATCACTGCTAAGAGGCTGATTCTGCAATGATGTAAAAAATAATTTTATCATAGATTTCAACAGTCACATGACAGCACTTAATACTGTGGTCACATGAAAGAAAAGTACTACTTTGGTTGAAAAATAAAGATCCCACCTGTCAACAATTTGACCCATCTATTGTAAAGAATCAGACTGATGACACAAGTTAAAAGACCAAAACTTTCATAAGAATTTGCCTTTGCCATTTATAAATGCTGAAGCCCTGAGGAATCTTTGAGATTCCAGAAGAGTAGTTTAGGATATCTATAGCTCTGAAAAATATACCTGCAGGCTAATAAATAAACTGTTACTGGCAAAGACAACAAAGTCAAGAGAATGACTATTACAGCAATCTAATTTGAAAGGAAAATCGTATTATATATGCTGCACTTTCTGTTTCGTAAATCCTTATATGATCTAAGAGGGGAAAGAACTTTGCTTCCCAATGCAAGACTAGAGCAATTGCTCAAGACTTCTGCAAGTGTAGTAACACGATACACACTACCACTAACAAAATCCACATGTGCAAATGAGATAAAAAGAAGTAAACACACTCATGAAACAGCTCAAATAGCAAAAATTCAAGTCAGAATAATTCTTCAAAACATCACTCTCCTCCCTGAAGTTGAATAAAAAGAATCACCCTTTCTTACCCTTGGAACATGCTTTGAAAATGAAGTTTAAAAACTATTTTATAATAACAACACTTGGTATCTCCTGTTATGACTTTCTTAACAGAGTGCTCTTGCTTACAAATGACAACTAAGGAAGCATACATAGCTCTTACTGAACTCTATTCAAAAGGTATTTTCCCCTTCCTGAATACTGTGTGCCTGCTCTTCTTTCAGAATAATACTTTCACACCTTTTTCTACATCAGTGCTGAATATCTATGGTCCTAGGCCTACTCTGTCTCTGCAGTAGCCTGCAAAACCATTTGAATTCCATAGGAGTAGAAATAGGTTCTCTCATAAGTTAAATGATTTCAGACTCATCAATTTAATTTCACATTTGAAACACTTTCTCTGTCGTTTGTTTTCCCCCCCTAAAGACTTTTTTTCCCCATTTTCTTTTTTTGAAGGAACACAAGCCATGGATTTTCCTTTAGTCAGATTAAGGTTCAGACCATGGCAATGAATTAGAAAACAGGATTTTCACACAGCACGCCTGTGGTAGTGAGGTAAAGGCTGCTTTACCAAGCCGTGTTTAGCCATTTGTGTAACTCGGCCCATTGCAGGAGGCCTTCGGGGCTCCCGGAGCTGCAGCCTCGTTTTAAGGGGGTTTGTTCATTCTGCACGTTTGTTTTGCCATGGAAATCTCGCGCACACTGGAAGAGGAAATCGATTTTGTAGCAACACCTTCAAACAGGCTAAGTGGCTTTGCAAACGCCGTGTTCCCTGTCGCAAATACATCACCTTCCAAGGAACAGTTAAAGCAGAGCTCGACACCCAGACAAAGTTCTGCCCCCGGTGACCTTCCCGGGCGTCGGCTGGCAGGACCAGCCAGGGCGCTGCCCTCGGGAGGTGCCGCTGCCCGCACCCCAAACACCAGCAGCCCGCAGGTACCACAGCCCCACGGGCTCCGCCTCCGGCCCGGCGGCCCCCGGCCCCGCACATCGCCCCGCGCACCCCACGGCCCCCGGCCCCGCGCATCGCCCCGCGGCCCGGCCCAGACCGCGCACCTGCCGCCCGGCCCCGGCTCCGCTCCGCCCCAGTACGCGGACAAAGCGGCCACAACGCACCTGCTCCCGCGGCGGGGGCGGCGGCAGAAGCTTCAGCCCTGCCCGCCCCCATCCCTACACCCACCGGCTCCCTCCCCAAACCAACCGTCCTGCCTGCTCCGGGCCGGGTGAGGTGCTCCGGCGTCCCAGGGGCTCCCTCCGGCACGGGGGACCCTGCGCCCCCCGCATTCGCCGAGGGAAGCAAACTCCGGCCGGCTCTGGCCGCCGCTGCCCGCCAGGCGGATCCGCGCTGTAAACAGGCCGGCGGACGGCACAGGCGCCGGCCGCCCCCGCCCCAGCACCGGCGCTCGCCCCGCCGTGCCCCGCGCTCACCGTAGAGATGAGCGGAGGCTTCGCCCTTCCTCGCCATCGTCTCCCGGTGCCCTCCGCGCCGGCACTGCCGGGGTACAGCCAGGGGCCCGGCGCCTCCGCCCGCCGCTCAGCGCGTTCTTTGTTGCCGTGAAGGCATGAGAGGCGGCGGCGGCCGGGCAGCCTCCCGCTCCACTCGGCTCCGCTCCGCCCCGCTCCGCCGCGGCCGCCCGCAGCACCGCCCGCACCCACCCTCCCGTCCCGCCGGCCCCGCCGCGACGCCTGCGCCGACCCGCGGGGGCGGTGCCGGTGCCCGGGCCGCGGGGAGGGGGGCGGGCGAGGGGCGCCGGGACGGGCCGCGCCTCGACAACTTCGCCGGGCACGGCGGCAACTTCGGCATCCCACGGGGCCGTACCTGGCGGGCCGGTGTCCATCCTCCCGCCCCAACCGCCGCTGTCCGCAGCCGGGTGCGCTGCCCGCCTGTGCCCCTGCCCTGCGCAGAGCCCGGAGGTGTTGCCGCTGCTGGGAAGCGGCCGGCCGGCCCTGGGGCCGCTCGCCGCCCTCCCGGGCCCCGCCGGGAAGCGCCTCCCTTGGCGGAGCTGTCCGTGCCGCCCGTGCTGAGCGCCGGGCGGGCAGCGGCCTCGTGCCCGGGCGACCAGTTGCACGGGCCCCCGGGGCCTGGGGAGGGCGAAGCGCTCGAGTGTGACCACCGACAGCCGCGCGTCTGTCTCCCGACGGGGAGAAACGTGTTGTTTCGAGGTGGGGGCATTTTCATAACTCAGTCAGAAAACAGTTTCAGTCCTGACAAATACAGATTTCTGATCATAAACTTTCCTTCAATTGTCATCCACCTCCCTTTGTTTTATCTGAGTGGGGCAATAGCCACGTAGGAGCAATTACTCTGATCGCTGAGTTTCTTTCACAGTTTTGACAGTACAAATCATTACTACAGCAAGGGACACTGTATTCAGATGTCACGTTGCCATTAGTCTGTTGTCACTAAGTAAAACACACGGAACATTTTGTATTAGAAAACATTCTGAAATGACAGAGGTGCACCTCAAGGCCATCATTTACATTTTCAGACATGAGCAGTTTGAGAACAAGTTACTTTCCAAGGCTTGCAAATAAAGGTACCCTTTCAAAAGCTGGCTTAAGACCCTCAAAAACACATGATTCTTTTATTTATGAGTAAATTAATGGACATAGACTGTGGAGGTTGCAGTTATGCTTGTATTGAAATGTAAACCAATCATATATGTGTTAGTGAGGGTATGTGCTTCCTACACAGTCAGTACATCATCAGGTCTTGCAGTGCTTGCTGCCTTGGCTAGTTTCAGGGAAACTAAATCAGGAATATGTAGCAGTTTATCCATCCTCCCAGAGGTCTCAGTCCAGGCCAATTGCTCTAATAATTACTGAATTTCACATATGCAGTTTTATCTGCTGGTAGAGGAAGTACTGAGAGGAGGTATTACTCCCTCCCCCGTTAAATTGTGAGAATTTATACTTTGAAATACAATATTTTTTTATATTTTAAAATTAGTACTTGCTTCTTCCAGTCATCGCACTTCATCAGAATATTACATGGGCAGAGATTACGATTCTGTGCACTGCTGGTGGTTTGCAAATTTAATGAGAGTTTTTTCTTAACCTACTCCCCCTATCCTCTTAAGCCACATACTTAGCCTAGCTACCCAAGATGCGTGTTTCCACCCCATGTGGAAAATGGATGACACTCTTTGCTATCTAAGAAGAAATCCTGATTTCATCTCAGTGATGATGATGAGGAGAACAATTCAGACAATCTCACCTATGGAAGAAAGAGCTTCTTGTGTCTAAGACTGAGTCAAACGTGAGAAAAGCAGCATAGGACAGCTTTGTAAGAAGGAAGGAGGTGTGTTAATGCCTTCTGGCTCATTCAGATAAGACATAGCAACCTATAGGCAGCAGGGCATGACCAGAGTTGCTACTCAGAGCTGATGTAGCATTCTCAGGGAAGTCTCAGTATTCTTCTACAGCTCAGTGTTCTTCTGTCCCCCTTGTGCAGAGGGATGTATCTATATATAGCTTATGTTCAAGAATAAACATTGGAATCTCAACAGTAAAAAAAAATAGGTAATAGTATAGCCTGTTCTAAAAATAAATGTATCAGATATCACAGGTATCACACACTAGACATACAAAATAAACATTATATGTAATACACAGCATATACAATGACTATATTGTGTCTATATTATTGTGTATACATTATGTAGATTATATAATATAGTACCTATTTATTATATATTGTATTTAACATATGTAATATTTAACATATATGCTCTTTATATATCATAGAGCATGTGTTATATTTAACAGAAGATAGATTGAGACAGAGAGATAGAGAGAGATAGCAAAACCAGAGATAAGGTTTTGCTTACACAGCACTTCCAAGTTCTGGCAACAAAAAAAATACTCACATGCACTCTAGTTAAGTTTTTTATTTATTTATTTATTTTCATTAGAGTTTATAGAATATAAAATTCTTATTTTTATAATTTTTAAAATATTAAAATAATATATAACATTAAGAAGTTAATGTAGAATTCTCCAGGAGAAGTAGTAACTTTTGACTTGGTTCTGACTACCAGAACCAAGGAATAACTTAAAAATACACTAAAATAAAATGCAAAACTTGCTAAAAAGAATACAGAGGGTTAGAATAGTGCTAAAAGCTACAAGACAGTTATTCAAAGACATAGAAGGCTACATAAGGAGACCACTTTAAAAGACAGCACATCATCTTTGCATATTCATGTTCACAATTTTTCTGTAGTAAAAGTGATCAGAGGAATACTAAATAAGAAATGTGACACAGTAGTAAGGGTTTGAGAAAATAAAAAAGACAGATGCTGTATTTCTTGCTGCTGAGAGAAATGCCAAAAATACACCTTACAGAAACTTTTATCTATTGTCACTCCTTATGTAAATAATTTTGAACATCACAGTTCAACTGGTTTAGGCTTTGACAGAGAACCTTGCCATCTTTCATACCCCTCTCTTCCTAAAAACTTAGTAGACCTGGACCACCTGGGCTTTGAAGTTTCCTCTCCGGACTGGCTTGGTAAAAATTATGTTGACAACACATTGCCAAAAAAGTTCTCATTCATTTACCCAAGGAGATATGAAGAGAGGCAAAACTACCCAAAAACAGTGAGAAGGAGTGGAGGAAGGTGAGCAAGGGTGTAGCTTCATAAGCACAAGCTGTGTTAAACAGTGACCTTAATGAGCAGTTGGTTCTTGTACCTTACCCCAGTTGCTCCTGTAATTTAGCAGAGATGTCCTTGAATACCTTTGTCTTGGCTCCATACACTCTTTCCTTCCTTTTTCTGGAATGTCTATTCTTTAACCTCTATAACACTGCAAGAGATCACAGATAGTTTAGTGGCTTTTTAATACATAAGCTTGCTTCCAGAAAGTACACACATCCGTCTTCAGAGGCAAGTAGCAAACTTCATATGCAAAAATGCTTCAGTGTAAACTAAACCTGGAGAACAGCAAATCTTACCACCACGTATTCCTGACTCAATTTCCTCAATTTGACAGTTTCAGACAACAACATTCCCAGACTTTGTCTACATGAGCAGTTCAGGTCAGGTCAAGAGTGTAGTTTTGAGGTGAGTTTCCCAATTGTCCCCACTTAGAGTGCCTCACCAGATTCACAGAGAGATTTCAAAGCACATGCACTGATTTTTTTGGATTAAAATTACTGGAAGACATGATCTAGGAGGAGTGCATCCAACATGTTCCAACCACTTACTAGGGGGCACTCTGTCAAGCCTGAAGTAAAAACCCTTCAAAATGTTTATCAGGTCTATACAACCGTTTCACTGTATAAACCCAACAGTACTGCATTACTTCCTAATGTCAGCATTCCCTCAGTGTACTGCTTTATTTGGTCTCCCTGCCTTAGGGATGTCCTCAACTCCATTCCAAGCTGTCTCTTCAGCTCACTGCAAAATAGAGCTTATTTACCTTTTAAAGGGCTATGGATCCTAATCTCAAAGGCATACAGAAATAATATCTAATTTCTGAGCACTGTAGTATTTGAATCACTTCCTGCAGCAAGTAAATATGCTTAGTGTATAACATCCTTATCAGTCAGCTGGGGTTGTTTGCTACCTCCGAGAGAACATATTACCTATGACATCAGCTTTTTGTACAGATTCTCAGCCCATCTACCCATCTTTAGAATTTTGGGGTGTGTGACATCTCAGAATACGCACAGTAGAATCCATGCTGCATATCAAAAATTAAAGTTTTAAAAGCTTCAAATGAGATTAATATATTTCTTTACGTATCATCACAACATGGTGTTATGATGATAAATAAGCTGAGGAATACAGAGATATTACATATACACAATAGACATAAATAAATAATGTATAAACAGCAAATGGACTGCTCAGCAATTAAATTCCCACACTATATTCAGAAACATGGCCTATGGAACAGAATCTTTCATAAAATGGAACACAAAATACAGACTTTGAATGCTGATATTTAAAAGCCCTATAGCTATATATTGCAAAGGTATGGTGCATGTTAAACAGGAAGAACATATAAAAGTCTTAAAGAATCTTCAAAAATATTTAAGTAACATAGAGTTATAAATTATGGGTAGTTGAGTAAAAGGCATAAGCATAAAGTACAGGGAAAAAAATCCACTTAGAGTGAAAAAGTAGCAGCCTGTGCACTAAGTTAGAGCTGTTCACACGCCTCCATTTGGGAAACACCTGCAGTCATGACAGTAGGAAGCCTATAAAACAGTACAATCAGCTTGTTTTTAGTCAGTTATTAAATATGCCCCAAAATAACTCTTACATGGCTGGTTTCCTATCAAAGTGTTTCTTCATTATTAAGTACAAAATCAGTCCTCTCAACTGTCAGAAACAAAACAAGGAATTAAGAACCAAACATAACAAGGTGATAATGTGCAAAAATATTTGAGACACCTTACTCTGTATTATTATGCAAAATAAAATGGTATCCAAAAACCAGCTTCCGGGGAAGTACTTTATGTTTTGTTAATTCTGTTAAAATTTCACACTAAGAAAAGTCATTCATAGAACTCTCAAGGCAGCTATTTGTCCTGAAAGGTTTATTTTAATAAAACCCTAAATAACACTACTGTACAACACTGAAACAAAAATATTCAAAACAGTGTATTTTACACACTGCAGGTAACTTATAAAATCATGACTTTAACATACAACCATAACTGAGAGCACTTATAAGCACATTTTATGTAACTATCAACACAGTTCGTAACAACTCCCGCGCACCAGGCCCAGTCACCCTATTCCTAATACACTTCCAAAACATGAGTTTATGATTCCCCGAGGCGCAAATCACAGTACAACAGCTCACAGGCGCTCTTCTGCTAACAGGTGGATGATGTAGATGCCTGGAGCCAGCCCAGGAGACTCTGCACACAGACAGCAAAGCGGCCGAGCCTGGGGCCGCCTTCTTTTCGGCCTCAGAAAATGAAACACAGACCCTGCCCGCGTTGGTGCGAGTGGGCCGCTCGTCACATCCTCGCCCCCGAGCCGGGCCGGCCGCAGGACGGAGCTCTCCGCCGCG